TCAGGTCAAAAGATTAATGAGGAATGCAATATTTCCTGTGCTACGCAGTCCCAGCTGTGACCTTCATATTTTGCCTTAACCAAGGCAAGCAAAACCATTGTATATCTATATATAGGCTATATATAATCATCTTAACTTTGCAGTCTGGGCTAGCGATGTTATTATGAATTTTCGATCAACTGAATAAAAGAGTAAAAAAAATTTTGTGTCTACGTTTATTCAAAGTCCAGTAATGTAAATAAAGGTAGAGTAGTAATGTAATGGTGGAACATGGAAAAGAGTTGTGCACTGTCACAATCATCAATAGTGCTAATGTTGCAATCTAAGATGGTGCCAGATGTTACGATTATACTTGATCTATATTGCACTATCAATGATCGTGATTGACGAGGATCTTGAAATCGTCTTTTAATAAGATGATCGTATAGAAGTAGCTAGATCTAGTTGATAATACGATCATTCAGAATGTTGCTAGTTGATAAGAGGATCATCTAGAAGTTGCCAATCACTAAATTGATCTAAGTATGTTACTATATTCAATGAAGAAACTCCTCTTCGTCTAAAACAAATGCTTTAATTCAAAACTTGGAAAAGCTATTCACAAATAATTACAATGGTTAAATGTACTTGAATAGAACAGAATAAATATAATTCTGCTAAATAAATGATCTACACAATAATGTAAAATATACATCTGAATCCTAACACGTTCCGCACGACACTGACCAAAAGTCTAGAATCTTTCCCCGGGTATTGCGTTGTCACGTGTCTAACATCACCTCGTTGCAATGCCAACCAATAAATGCAGCTCAATGTACAATAATAAATATTTCAAAACCAATCACATTTATTCTGACACATAGCCCTGCCGCGTGATGGAATTACCTGAGCTAACAAGTTCTGGCTGGTAACCTTGGGCGGCTAAATATAGATACTGTGTACGTGACATGCACTAAAAAAAAAAATCTTATATCTTACAGAACTGAATTATCATATGGAGAGTTGTTTATCAGTTAATTGTTTTCTCAAGGTGTAAGTCATATATCTAATTAACATCTTGATATTTTGCTAAAGTTTTTAAGACTAGTTAACTCTAGTTAAGATTTGTAAAGCAACGTCAAAAGATCTATTAAATTTGAAAAACAAAGTACACTAAGAAGAAGTTAGGTAAACGCAAGAAAATATGGACTGGTGATATCAATGATCAGGTTAATATACAACTTAAAAGGGGTGGAGATACATGACACTAAATTGTCTCAAAGCAATGAAGTTTAACACTTAAAATATACATTAAAACATCAATAGCCTATTATTGTTAGATTACTTTGTATGATAAACATTTAGGCTTACCATAGCACACATTTTCTTCAGCGACAAACTCGTCGGTGACACTTGTGTCAGTAACATCCACCAGACTATCTGCAACATTCAACAAAAGCTCGGTATTTGTTAGTGATTCTTAAAAAATGCTATTACAAATATTAAATGCTCTATATTTTCTCTGCTTGGTTTAGTGGACATATGAGTATACAACATACAGAGAGCTTCATTGAACTGTATGAGCTCCTTTTTTTGGTCATAGATGAGCATACTAAAAAGCCAATTACATTCAAGGGACACAGTTTGCATTTTTGTTTGTTTTTTTTGCCTTGTATTTCTTTAATGTCAGCTAACCTCTTTGTGTAAAGTATTGACCCGAGACAACGGCATCAACTGCTTCCCCACATGAGATCTTGGGCTAGGTTTTGCCAGTCATAGATGTTGTTTTTTCAATTCCTTGAGGCAGATCTTGGAGGTACCTGAATATTTCTATTGTCCCCCCCCCCCACACCCTCTGAGAATGCCTTTCAAACCATCAGACATGGAGAATCCAGTGCATCGAGTTAGGGAATTTGTTTCTTTTACAGGCTAGGATAAAATAAATGTGAAATGGACTACTCAAGATAATTTTAAAATTATTTAATTGGCCTAGGTGTAATTTTTTTAAACTATATTTAGAATTACCTTTGTTAATTGAAATACCTTTATTCATTTTGCACCTTTAGAAGAGATTGCAAAGTGTAAACAATAATTTTCTTCTACTAATTAAGTCAGTTGTAGAAGGCATCTTGATTTTGTACACATCATATAAAACTGTAAACATAGAAATAGAATCTGTAGTTTGTATGAGACAATAATTTTACATTTGTTCCTTCAAAAAGATTGTTACGCCTCCAGAAGTATCCAATAACTCATTATGATATGTTTGATTGACAGGCATGTTTTGTACCTGCATCTTTCCTTCAGGATAATGAAACTTACTATTGAAATTTTTTTAACTTATATTATTGTGAATCCATTTGAAAATTAGTTCTGGAAATTCTGCCTTTTCCTGATCCTCGCCAACTAAATGTTAGGCTTAATTACAGAGACATTATGATTAATCTTCAACAATAGAATTTTATGTTTCAGTTGTAAAGTTCCTCTTTAATAAGATCTTGCGATCTATTGGAAAGATGATGTAAAGATAATCTGTTTCTGTGGCCCATGGTTAACGATGGTGTCATTTGGCCAGCACAACGACCAACCACCTTTACTTTTATCCCAACTTATGCCATGAGTTAGAGTAGGTAGAATCAAAGTCTTCACCGGTAGTCCAACCTGAGACCCTTCAGTTCAGAAGCCAAGTGCTTAACAACCGCGCCACCCTATATGTTTTGGTACGACTTTAAAAAATCTTTGAGTCTCGTATTAAATCTACTACAATTAATTTTCGTATTAGGCTTGAGCTAGGTCTAGTTCTATGAATGAAAAAATAGGCCTACTAGAATCTATATTTATAAAACAATGTAAAGATACAGTAGAGCATTAATTACAACAAAATCTTCAAAATGCATTAGAACATTAATAAGCAAGCTTCCACTATAAATAATTAGTGATAGTCTATAATACTATACCTAAATAGTGGTAGCCTAGAAATGTATTTTATAATTTTACATCGTCTTGCAGAAAGAAAACATTATTATTAATATTTAAAGCATTTCTCGTTGTAGTGTGAATGTGTATATGCATTGCGTTCTAGTCTAATACTATGCCTTAAAGTTAATGTGGATATGCATGTGGTAGCAGTGGGAAGTATTAACCCAGCCGACACAACTCAACTCGAGTTAAATCTTGTCTTTAAAATTTTGAGTCCCTACTCCTACAATTCCTTGTAATTGACCCATCTTTTGTGCCACCAACCCAGACTCTTCAAGTTCGGTTACTATGTTAAAGGGATACAGATCTATAAGCTGTTTTTTTCTGTCTTGTAGTCTCCCTTGTTCAACTATTCGGTGTGTTTACGTTTCTCTAAGTGAGTTCGTATTGTGTTGCATCAGTCTATTTTCTTCTTCAACGTATGTTAATAAAATGAAGTCATGCTCTGAGCCTCCGTGATTGTGGTTGATAGAGATCTAGCTACAGATGTAGTGAACATTTTACAATATAAGCCTTTACAGGTATACAGACTACATGCATATCCTAAAACTATGTACTAAAACATTGCAAATATTATGTCAAACTAGACTAGTAGTTCAAGTTGTTCTAGGCTGGCTTCAACAACTATAAAATAATAAATATTTATTTACTAATCGACAGCCTTCTTACCTCTAATCTTTATACAGCACATTGGTAGTTAGTGATAAGCCTATCCCACTATAAATTTAAACAACCGTCATTTTCTTTGGCAATGGGCCAACTGCAGTAATCGCCGTGACCTATTTTCTCTTAACATATTGATGACCTGCTTTTCTTTTTCAACAAAAGGATTGTAATTATTAGTTTTAGTAAAACCAGAGTGTTTCTCAAACTTTTTTCCAGGGGATTCTCAAACTTTTTCTTTCTCCCTTCACAATTCCATCCTATTTACGCAAATATGTAATGATAGCCCTACAATACACATAGATCTACACTTATGCATTGTGTGTCAGTTAATTTTAGACACATAAGAAATAGTGTACGTACCTGTGACTTCGAAGAATGATATATAGCCAGCTACCTTATAAATCCATACAATTTTAAGTCTAAAAACACAGGTTAAAATATGTCTATCCAGTGTAGTGCGCTAATAACAAAAATACTAATAACACAAATTCGTGAAGCTTCTTTGCAGTATTGTTTTTTAAAAAAATACTAAAATGATCAATACTTTTGTATTATGATCTAAATTTGATTCCTCTTACATTATTATTTAAATACTTTTAGATTCTTTATTTTGCCATAAGTGAGCAAGTAAAAAAATGGTACAATTATAAAACAGATCACTCAAATCACTCTTCATATCTTTTTAGATGCAGGTTTGAGGAAAACAAAAAGAATAGAAAAACAAAATTCCTTGGATTACCATTTCCAGTGCCTGCATGCAAGACCTGAACACTGACCTGTGATGTCACTTTCCTGTGGTCAGTTTAGACATAATGATCTGTGATGTTGCAATCTGCTAATTGGTCTAAACTGCCCACAAGTTGCGACATCATAGTTCAGTGTCGAGGCCTTCTATAACAATTGGTCTCATTATATGCGTCCTCTAAGCTGGCTAATTTCAGTAGTTCTTGTATGTCCAATTATTAAAATCACAGAACATATAGCTGTCCGTTTCATGTAAAATTAAAGTGTAATATGATCCTAGATCTGATATTAATAACACAGATTTATATTTGAAATTAACTAAAGACATAAATGATCAGCTACAATATAAATGATAAACAAATAATACTACAAGAGTTGCCCATCTATAGTAACAAGTTTTATTTTACAGCAAAACAGATGTATATATTAAAAGTAATTAAAAAAAAAAACTCAACTATAACAATAATTTATTTAATCAAATAAAGTAAAGTACAAAAAAATTCATGGAAAGTTGTAAATATTAAATATAAAAATTTATTAAAAGATAGTAGATATGAATACATTTTTTGGGCTTACTTATATAAAACATAATATTAACCAAAAAGAAAAAAAAACACATTATATATTTCTAATTGATAATTCAAAAAAAAAAATATTTACATTTATAAATTACATATCAAATCACAGAGTGCTATTTACAAAAAAAAAATCTTGTAAATAAAAACAAAAACACTACAAAACTCACTATCTCTCAAGTTTGTTTGTCATTTAGATTTCCTCATTACTTTTTGTTTGCCTCACATGTCAGTTGTGTATCATGTTTTGTAACTTATTGAACTTGAGAAAACAAGTGAAATTCATTACAGAATATTTTATCCCTTAATAATTCATGTGTCGTAGCATGACAAGTTATACATGTGGACTATAAAAATTCTAAAAGGAATTAAATATGAATATTAGGTAAATATAAATATTTTAGGTCAACTGAAAATAGAAAATTTTTAATTAATCTTCACATAATATAATATTTATCTTTATTATATTTAAAAATTTTTGTGATTACCAAAAAAAATCATAGCTCCAGAATTATTATAGATACAAAAGTTAACAAAGTCCTTCTTGTCTGTTGTAACCAAAATATCAAAAACGAACAGAGAGCCATGCTTGTATTGTGTGACCAAACTATCAGTAAAATTTATTTGTATTGAAGCACAACTGGAATAACTAGTAAATCTATACCATCTAACAAAGAGAAGCTTCAGAGTACTAGTGTACATGTCAACAGCTAGTTTCTTTTATATTTAAGTAACTGATATAAATTATACTTATTGCCTGACTATAGAAATACTATTTTCTTGCTCTTTAAAAGCAGTGTTTTAAGCTCAAAATAGATTCTTTATATCTACATAAAACTATTGCACAGAAATCAACCAAAAAATAAGCATGGAAAAAAAACTTAGCAGTAAATTTTTATTAAATTCAATAATGACATCGAGAGTTTTCATACTCCCTGTGATTAATAGTGCATACCCTATTTTTGTTCATATAACCCTTGGGTTATACAAATTTGACAAAGAATGGCAGCTGTATGGTGTATGCAACAGTATGGAATTTACAACATTTATTTTACTCTTAAACATAGCATAATGGAAATTATAGACATACTGGTGGGTCTTTCATACTTCTCATAGTTCGCTGTGTGGTAACTGTGGTTGTGAAATGTACATTGGAAAGTTTTATGAACATCTCAGTATAAACCTCAAGAAAACAAAAAAGTATTAATGTGGCAAAGAATCTTTAATTTACTGGTAATTAATTGTGACACGTTTACAGCAAGTTGCACTTGTTTTTACTTATTTTGTAATTTGTGTGGGGTAGGGTTAGGGTTTAGGGCTGTGCGGGTTATATGCATGTGTGGGTCACGTGCAAAAATACAGTATATATTTGAAACCTTAAAAAACTTTTTTTTTTAAAGTGCTTAACTTAATTAATAACTGAAACAAAACAATCTGGAGAAGAAAAAAATACATTAATTATTTACTACATTAACAGTATAACTGAAACTAAAATATAAACTTTTTAATGAAATTAACAAAACATTTTGTACTTCATCAGCCAGTTCAATATTTTGTACAAACAAAATTTTTAAAACCCTTTTGATTCATCCTATTCTATCAGGAATGTTAAACTTATGCAACTAGACACAATGTCGAAGTACAGAGGGAAAAAAAACAAATTAAAGACTGACAATAATAAAAACACTTTACTCTATTGCATCCAAGAAGTACATGTCTTTTAACACACAGTTCATAATAACCAACTTGTTAATGGCATTGTAGAGTTTAACTAATTAGTATAACTCTTGATAAAATATAAAAAAATTATTGTATCACATTGTATAGTTTTATACCGGTACATGGGATAAAAAAATATATATATTGTAGCAGGACCATGGCTGTATAAATATATATAACAGAAGCTAATAAATATTTTAAAATGTGAGATCAGATATGATGTGGAACTGATGTTATATACTAATTAGCACTTTAAAAATGTAAAATAAAACTAGAGCAGATACCTAATTATGCTAATTAATAACTAATCAACACTTTCAAGATTTAAATTATTTTACAAATAAAGTACATACATATATTATAAATAAATTAGTAAATTGCTTTTGAGAAATCTTACTGTCTTTATTACGCAGTAGTTAGGCTGAATTGTATTTTATAGCCCAGTTCTTATGGCTAATTTTTGGTCATACCTTATGGATATAAAAATTTTGTCATAGTTTATTTCTAAATCGTTACATTCTTTTACTTTAAAAAAAAGTAGAGAGATCTTCACAATAGAACACAATGTAACAATTATGCCCACATTTATTTTTAAAAGAAAAATAAATAGGAATGAAATAAAAGCAAATTTACCGAGCATAAAAGAAATTGTAGATAAAACAAAATATATATATATTATATGTATTATCTATAAATCTAGCAGACAATTTAAAAAATGTAATTATTATTATATTAATATGCTAGAATTTATTTTGATATTTTAATTGAGTCAATAAAAACATTTAAAATTGTATGTGGTTTCATATATCAAAAATTCTTAGATTGTATAAAAGGCACCAGCACAAGACAATAACAATTGATTACTTAAAAAAATATGTGGCATTTAAAAGTAAATTTAAATAAATATTCTTTTAAAAAAGCTTTTTTACTTAGTGAAATTACAAGGAAAATAATAGTTCTGAATGACTTTAAAAAATGTAGACCATTGCAGTGCATATTAATAACAAACAATATAATTGTACCAGTGAAAAATTATGTTTGTTTCCCAAATTGTTGTCAAGCAGTAAGCTTGACTTCTCATAATTTGATATAGAATTTTGAATTTGTTGTGACATAGGAGCCAAGGTTGTTAGGACTGCTTCTTTCTCTGTGCTGGCTATAATGACTTTGTTTGGTTGGCTAGTTACAACATCTGTACAAAACAATCAAAGATAAAGCTAAGAATATACATCCATATATGTGTCATTTCTATATACATGTAGCCTCTTGCAATATATATTACTTAAACGTTTATACATTAAAAAACTTTCTTAAATACATCTATAAATTGAAAGAAATAAGAGCTTGTTGCAGAAATGAGGCCAAAGCTCATTATTCAAATACTGTAAAAACCCTTTGGATAATAGTTTGTACAACAACATTTATGTTTGGTTTCAAAGGATTTTATATTGTCATAGCCAGGAGTTTTAACTGGGGATAAGCTCACATCTATCTGTATATATAATTCTCTACGTCACTCAACCATGCGGGACACCATGCAGGCACGCCGAATCTCTAACCCTTGATGAAAAGTCATGGAAAGATAACTCTTTTATTTCTGCAAGTCGGTCTAGAGTTACCCCAAGTAACTTTTGCAGTGAGAGAGAGTGTGGATCAGAACAAGTAATCTTCTCACTAAATAGTAGTGTATGCTATGCTGGGGTTTAGCTTGTATATATAATTCTCTACGTTGTCAATCATGCAGGACACCCTGCATGCATGCCAACTCTCTAACCCTCCTCCCACCCTATTCCACCCCTTCACCTGCACCTTCATCGCTCTACAGGCATGCACACACAGTCGTTTACCCAAACTCACCCCTTTGGACAACTGTCTTTCAGGAAGTGTTCACTTGTCACTAAATAGCGGGGTATGCTAAGCCACGGGTCAGCTAGTTTTTATAAAAAAACTACTTGAAGGCATGAGTCTGAAATAGCCTCTGACAATCAAGTCAAGAAACTGACCAGCTAGAGTGACTTAGACATTAAACCTTGTGAAACTGTCTCTTCACCTTCACCTATCCCTTAGTCCAGAGGTTCTCACACTTTTATTTTTGCCCTTATGCAGTTAAAACTTGCCCATGGACTCCTAAGTTAAAAAGCTACATAAATGCTTCTTACATAAGTTACTAATGTAAAAAAACAAAACATTTTGTTGACGAAGTGTTTATTGAGATTAAAATTTTGTTTTAAACAACATTTAAAAAAAATTATTGACTCAGATGATTTTATGAAAGTATTTCTGTCCGGCTTAATGTTTGTAAGTAGCAACTGCAAATCTCCATGAGCACACATTTCTAATCCGCTTTTTATATTTGTGATAAGATTCATCATCAGGCAATGTCGTATCCACTTTCTAACACATAACAAGAGGGTAAGCAGTCAACAGCTTCTGTACAATGACCCATAATGCAGGATCTAAAATAGGAATCTGTATTTGTAACCATAATAAATGGTCTCCTTGTTTAAACATAAGTTTCAGTTTCTTGTTTTTTCAAAATTTCAATAGGCTGCTCCTGCATTATTATGGATTCATGTGTGATTGGGATTTGTGTTTATCCAGCACAAAAGTGTTAAATACCCAGTCGGGAATATCCAAGTGATGAATGTCTTCAAATCTTTGGTTTAGGTCTACTTAGAATAGTATCTAAGAGGCACACTGATCCAATCGGATAAACTGGCTTTTAGCGAAGAAGTTATTTTAATCGTATACAATTTTGTATCTTTCTGTGGAGCCCCTAAGGTCCTCACCAGACCTCTTGGGGTCATGGACCAATCACTGTAATAACCCTGTCTCTAATCTCTTCATTTGTGATACAGTCTTTAAATCTGATACCTAGGATTTTTTTTAGCATCTCAATTCCGTTGCTAGGATACTCCTCTCTAGCTCTGCAGTCAGCATCCAAGACTTGAAATCATATAAGAATGTGGCCGTGACTAAAGAGAACATCAGTCTTATTATGCCGTCGAGGGCTATGCCTTTACTGAAAGGTAAAAAGTCTGTTATTGGATGATTCTAAAGCCTGGAGTTTTGTGAAGATAAAGCTTTTAAATGTAGTAATACAATGAACCAAGACAGGTTTCTCTGATTCTATAATTCCACTGCCTCTAACGTTAAGACTTTATTTCCAATAGGAAATATCAGGACTATTATTATTTATGATAATGTTCTGACAGCTCTTACAACTCACCTACTACTAACTATATAATAGAAGCCCTTTGAATTATACCAGTGATGTCAAAAGAGGAAGCATGATTCATATTTAATCCATGGCACATTTATCTAATGCCTAAGAATATACGCCAAAGAGGAAACTCTGGTACTGCTGCAGAGCAGTTGGGTCTGTTGTTCAAATTGTTATATGTTATTGTTGAAAAAAAATGTTTCAAAAAGATATTTATTTTCTAAGGTCTTACCTATAACACTTGGTCCAGTGCTATATAGAATTATTGGTTTTGAGTCAGTATAGACATAATACACACCAGCTTCTCTTTTTCTTCTGCCAGCAGCAGCTGTGCTGTTTGGTTTGGTGTTGTTACAAGTTCTGTCACATTCTTTGATGTTTTCCGAAGCAATACATACAATTGCATCACAATGTAAATACAAAAGATCATAGCCTACAAACTTAAATGGCTTGAAGCGGAAACCAAACTTGAAGTTACTAATTGGATAAAAGGACAATGTACTTTCTTGGCTGCACCTAGTGATGAAACAAATTTATTTGATATTCAGTTTGACAGAAAAGAACAAGATTAGACAGTATGGTTGAATTATAATTATATTATTTATAAAAAAGAAAGCAAGTAAAAGGTAGATTCAAAAGAATTTGGTATTTCTAAAATTGATTTTTAAGAAATCAAAATAAATGCATTTCAAATATATGATCAGTTAATATTATTTTTCATTTTTTTAAAAGTATTAATTGAACCCAAAATGCAAAAACGTAAAAAACTCTTTAAAAAAATATGAGAATTAACACAGTTAAATTTCTTTTTGTTCATAAGTAATACCTATGAAGACCTAAAAAGCACAACAAAAGAAGGAGAGATGTAAATGAGTGTTCATATTTCTAATTTAGTGTACTGCCAGTTAGTTCATTTTGAAGTGTCTTGAATTAAATCTTTCTGAGTTGTTTTCACAGCTTACGGTCAATGCAAAGTTGTTTTACATGTTTCAGATGTTCCTTCAGATTCTGCAGATAATTACATCAAGCCCAATCCTCCTGCAGAGCGACGGGAAATCGCAGCGAGCAGGGTCCAAATACAGAACAACAGTCCAGAGTGCATACCACATGATTGTATAGTAATTCTAAATGTTTTATTAAAGCACCAATACATCTCTTACTTGTTAGCAATTAACACTTGTTTGACCGTTCCGGTTTTATTGCCAGTGGGTGTTGCAAGGCAATCTGTAACTGTTAACAACAGCCTTGGGTCATACTGTTCCATGACAATAGCCATATTAAGCCATTCTCCAAGGGGGACAACCACTGGGTTGTCCCTAACTGCTATACTAAATGAATCATTTCTGTAAATCTCCATTGTGGCCTGGAAATACAATGGCATTTAATTATTCAATTATTTTTTAACAAAGTATTTTTGAAGCATTTTATTATGACATGATTTTTTAAAAATTTAATAAATATCTTTTTTTGTTTCTCAAAGTAAATTTTTGAACACTAGATAGAGCAGTGTTAGAATGTTGGGTGAACTCTAAAATGGAAGATATCAACCTATGATGAAATTTTTAGTTTTAAACCTTAGCCATTGCTGATAAGTGTATAAATTTAGTCTTTGTCATGCCTGCTGTTGTTATTTAGTTGCCAATATGTGGACCCAGTATGTGATAGGTAGAGGTCAACGTATGACCCCGGCGAGATGACACAGCAGCGAGTGTTCTCTGGAATCTACGCATATAAACAAAGACAGGATGTGACGTGTCCTCACATGTTGTTCCAGGGGACAAACAGATCTAGGAAGGGTGCAGTTACTAATGAACAGTGACAGATAGAGGTCAGTACGTGTGACCCCGGCTTGATGACACTGCAGCAGGTATTCTCTGGAATATGCATGTAAAAACAAAGACAGGATGTGACGTTTTCGCACTTGTTGTTCCAGGTGATACTAGCTGTGTTTGTGCAACTTGGGAGAAGCGATTAGGGACTCTATATAAGCCAGAGAGTTAATGTGAAAGTGAGTTGTATG